TAAACTTTAAGGCTTATTTAGGATTGAGCTTCTGATGCTTAAATAGGTTCATACAACACTTCTTAATATTTAGCTATAAGAAGGTTTTCTAATGCATTTTACACATTTAGGCTTTTAATTTACGAATTCACATTATTATTTTAAGAGGGAACTCCTTATGATGTTACTCCGAACCAATGACTCAACGTTTTTTGAGTTCAATGAGATTGCAAAAATTTTACTACATTATTACTACTTAGTTTTACTATTGTTTTCCCAATTATGCTTTCCTCAAATGCAAATTTTCAACGAGGAATTTCCAGTTTCAACTTAAAGTTGAAATTCAATAATTTCCAACAATTTTGACACGTTTATTCGCTTTTATCTGATTTTTAATTGGTAAAGGTTGCTTTTTTCGGCTTATTATAAACACAATATTTATTTCAAACAATTTGTAAAAATATTTGAATGTATGTAACAAGTATAATTTACATGTACAATCGTTTACGGTTTTTAATTTTTTTATTCCACATTCTACTTTTGTCTTCACAAAAACTCATTTAAACAAGTTTTCATTATTAGAAAAAGAAATCAGTAAAACGAGAATCAGTAGAGTTGATCATGTCAACTCTATGATGCCCGCACGGATAAATGATATATCTCAGTTTCCATACAATTTCAAATATCTCAAATACTTTTACTAAATAAAATAATTACAATATTTGTTAATACAAAATTTCAGCACAATAGCTTCAATAATTTCCATAACGCATCACAAAACAACTTTCAAAGTTAAATCATAATAAGTCAAGAAATTTCAACGAGTTTTGTCAAACATATAAGAGCCAACATAATAACATAAGTCGACCTTATTATATTTTGTCAAGCATAACAGTCGACATAATAAAATATACTATTATGGGGACAAAATAAGAGTTTAACATTATAATATACTTGCTTTTTCAAAATTCCAATATTCTTCAGCTCTTATAATTTCTGAGATATAACTTAATAACCTTCGAAACTGCGTGGCTACTCTCGATTCATTGCCTCGATCACATCCAATTCAAATAGGATTTTGGTATATACTACATAAAATATTTGCCAATATTTGGTAATTTCTAAGCGTTACAAGCGGAGTGGTAATTTGATAATACCCTTCGAAGATACGTTCCTACGGCTTTCATCTCAGCTTATTAATCTTCATTCTCTCGTTCTCGCATTACGAAATCTTTTTCTTCCAATAGTATAAATGTATATTTATACACATGAAAATGTATAATATAAAATTACAACAATAACATTGTCTTAAATCGAGCATCAACCTTTTCAACAACAAATTCATAATGTTATTACCATCATCATCATTATCATTATCAATTCCATAGTTTATGTACAAATACAGTAAATTAATACAAACGATATTATGGAGTTTCATTCGAATCTAAAATGTTTTTGTTCCCTCATTTTTTATTCAAATACAAACACCAAAACAAATCTGACTTTGTGTGAAACTGTGTTATAAATAAAGTTGTTTAGAAACAGCTTTATAATGGTAATACTGAGTATGCTAACGATGATTAAATTACTCTTTATATATTGATGGTAAATAAATTCTTAGCTATTCTTAGTGTATATTGTATAATCAACAGTTTCTTTTAGGCCGATGATTACTTCTAATTTTCCTAATATTATGATCCGGTTTTCCATTTTTACCGTTTTGAATGAAATACCTACAAGTGTTGTGTGTATAAAATTTTATGTGTGCGTAGGAAAGGTAATCATATCAAGTTTTTAATTATGATTGTTATACATGCATGCTTATGGTATCACACTTATGTATGCACCTATGTATTTATGAAAGTGTATGTTCATATATGTATATTTCCAATTAGACGATGTTTGAGATGAAGTAGGGCAATCGAATGAAATCAGGCATGCAAAAAATACTGATTTGATTTACAGGAATCCTCACTTTAATTACTCATTATTCTCTGTAACAAATTAGATTAAAACTGGTTTAACAAGATTAAAAAACAACTGAATGGATATTTATTGAGAAAAATTATAAAAAAATTATGAGCTTTGATTTCAATAATTTATAAAATAAAAAAGTTTTAATGTTTCGATCATTTGATAAAAGGAAAATTTTTTGTACTTTGTATGAATTCTCTTTAACTTAATGCATCTATTTATTAATTTTTTCTAAGTTATAAGAAGAAATATAAAGAGGACGCTTTTGGAGAAAATTATTTTGGCAGAACGGCAACTTGCAGACAAAGAAGAATATTTTTAAACTTTCAGTGCTTGTCATAGAAATTGTACGATATTAAATCTTACCTTACCTTAAAGCCTTCAATCAGCTTTTTCGAAACGATTTTGTTCTAAAAACATGGCTTCTTTGTGCGCTACAACAAGAAGAAGTAAAAATTCTAACAAAGTTTTTTAAACTGTATCTTCTAAATACAATATATCTTTATAATTTGGCTTCCGGGATTAAAAGTTTTAGTCACATTCGATCCTCTAATAAATGGTATAGATTACAGACCTTTTAAATCGTAATAAATGTATTTAGATTTTACTTTCGCATTTTCATTTTCTGAACACAGTCTATAACTCGGTTTACAACAATTTTTAGACTCGGCCACAATTTTATTCCATTACTCTAACCTTGGAATGTCTTTATTATGATTTATATTTTACATACATATGTATGTAAGAACAATCGAAATTATGAAATGTCTGCATTGCACTGTATCTTAATATCGTAAATGTGTTAGCGCCAGTAGTTTTTATAAACCAAATATAATAATGATAATGTAATCAAAAAGAAAAAATAGCTTAAAACGGGAAACGAATTTAAATTATAAATGTTTTGGCATATGTATGTACCTACTGAAGACAATATGTATGCATATATGCAGTATGTAAGAATCCATACTTATTTACGTATTGTATTACAAGAATATACTTTGTATTTAACACTTTTGTATTTAATAAGCTGTGACTCAATGAAACTAGGGCATAACTATTTATGATATCACGCACTGGCCCTATACCCGTTCTAGGAGTAAAGAAGAAAAAAAATAAGTAAAAACGTTTCAATCGGAATAAACCGGCTGAATAATACCCTGCACTCTGGCAATCTGATTTTAAAAATTTGTTTTTGATATATTTAGAAATAAGTTTGATTGCTAAATGGCAATAAACCTTAACTTCATGGATATATGTTACTTCAAATTGGGCCCCTCAGATGCTTGTTATAGTCGTTTAATAAAGTTTCAAAGATGAACATAAAAACAAAAATAAACCAAAATAAAACAAATTATGTATCTTATTTTTTATACTTAATACTAACTTAGTAGTTAGTATTAAGTATTATCTTGTTACATATTATATATTATCTTGTTACCTTGAACTTGGAATTTAAGTTTCTTTAATACATTTAACATATGTAAGTATTTACGCGCATATTAACGTCTGCATAAATATGTATATGCATATTCAAATATATGAGTTGTAGGCAGAAGAATCTGTTTAAATTGCTGGCACATGGCTTTCTACTGAATTGTTATGTATGTATATGCAAACATATATGTTTATTATGTAATCATATATTTTGTAAAGAATTTTAAAAATGCGTTTGGCGATTTTATACATGAACAAAAAAATACTTAAGACTTTTATTTTATTATTACTAGCCATCACAATGTCCCGTTGTGATGCTTCCACATTCCCTCTTCGTTAGGTCATGTCGCAAACAGCGTTATCCAAAAGTCCTAATCCCCACTTTCTGCATTTAACCGTTACAAGCATAGAGAAAGTGTGATCTACAGACAAGCACACATCATTCGGCTTTTATTGTAATAGATACAACAATCTATAAAACTTTTTTTAGGTTTCGTTTATCAAAATTTTATGAAACAATTTGAACATTTATCAAATTTAAGGTTAAATAGTACCTAATTCGCGTGAACAAGAATAATTTAACGGATAACTACTTAATTTGATGTTAGTTATACGTATGTGTTTAAATATATACTTCTACTATGGAGAAGTGCGTTCCCACCGAAAACTTGATATGCAAAATTTGTTGTCATCACATAACCTCTGTCGATAAAAATATAAAGAGTACATAAAAACCAGCATAATATGCATTTAAGTGCAGGTTTTTGATTTTATGATAAAAAAATTATAAATAAGTAAAAAAATTTTTCCCCAAAAGATGTAGATATAACACTAAAAAATATTGCTATATTATTAATATAATATGTGCGTACATTATGGGTATCGACAGGATAGAGACATGTTTCTCATCTATTCCAAAAAGTGTGTGGCGCATAAAAAACCGTCACCGTTTATTAAACTGAAAACCAAGTGGAACCACCATAATTTATAACTATATACATATTTAGCTTCCTTAAATTTGACACATTCGATGATATTCTTTAAAAAATTTAAACTTCAACAAACGATGCTTGTTACATTTTTTGATGTTAGATGTTTGCGGCATGCGCATCGCCGCACTATTGAATTTACCTATTCTTTTGAATTGAGTCTGTATTTAAATATTTTAACTTAAAAATAAACTTTATTAAAGATCTTTAAAAAACAAACTACTCACAGTCACATTTTAGAAAAAGGTTGAGAGTCGCTGGAATTATCACTATAATTTGCACATACTTTTGTATGTTTTTATTATTTTCTAAGGTATACATATCATGTTGTAACCTTAAATTGTTAATATGCATTTTTACATAAACCAGTTTAAGCATACATACCACATATGCTTAACTTAGTTAATAAATTCGACTGTTTATTAATGAAAATAAACTTAAAATATTAATAAATTTTATTAATAAAAATGTTTATTAATCAAAATTTGAAAATAATTAAAAAATAATGTACATAATATGCATGTACTTTTGATTTTCTTGATTTAAACATTTTTAAAATAATATAAAATAAAAAACTTGCTATTATTTTTTAGCTAACTTTTTTCTATAATTTTCTATTTTTAGACATTTACTGCCTGGTGCAACAGCCATTTACGTAAAGCTGGCACCGCTATTGATAATATTGAAGAAGATTTTCGTAATGGCCTTAAACTTATGTTATTATTAGAAGTTATTTCTGGTGAAACATTACCAAAACCAGATCGCGGCAAAATGCGTTTCCATAAAATTGCTAATGTAAATAAAGCATTAGATTTCATTGCATCAAAGGGCGTACGTTTAGTATCAATTGGTGCTGAAGAAATTGTTGATGGCAATTTAAAAATGACATTAGGTATGATCTGGACAATTATCTTACGTTTCGCTATTCAAGATATATCAGTCGAAGAGATGACCGCTAAAGAAGGTTTGCTATTATGGTGTCAACGTAAAACAGCGCCATATAAAAATGTTAATGTGCAAAACTTCCACTTATCTTTCAAGGTAATTATTATATTTTATTTTTTTTTGAAGTAATTAATTTTAACTTAAAATTAAATATACCTATTTAAAAAGTTATGAAATTTTGTATATATTTATTTTTCTTTTTTTTTATAACAAAAGGATGGTCTTGCATTCTGCGCTCTTATCCATCGTCATAGACCAGATTTGATCGATTATGCCAAACTCTCCAAAGATAATCCGTTAGAGAACTTGAATACTGCCTTTGATGTAGCTGAAAAATATTTGGATATTCCAAGAATGTTAGATCCAGATGGTATGTTTTACATATTATTTTTTTTATTTTTTTTAACTTTAACAATTGTATTTTAAATAAATACTAATTTTAGAAATGAAAAATTTAATAATATGAGTATAAGATATTTAAAGGAATAAAAATGTAGTATTAAATAACATATATGAATTATTTTGCTGAAATTATTTAATCGTCCTATAATTCTTATATTTATTAATAATCTAATTACTTTAAATTGTAGATATGAAGGCTGTAATGCATAAATTTTATAATTAAACAATTTTACAATTATTTTACAATTATAAAACGTATACAATATACATACATATAATCATATTAATGGGGTGAGGATTCTAAAAAATTTCTAAATTTCGCGAACTCTTATGCTAAGTTCCACACCACTTCTTCAGTAATTTTAGCACATCTCATAGTACAAATAACCGTACTCAATTTAGAAAACTGTCACCATTTCAAAAATTTTCTTCTGGTTTTCATAAATCTTTTTGATAATTGTTATTTAACTCTACAAAACTTTCGTACGAGTGTCACAAATTCCAAACAATAAACACTTTTTATTTTAACTTATTGTTGCGAAAATCGATTCCTACCACATAATTTTGAAGTACAAAATTTATTCAAAAATAATTTCTGTCAAAATAATTCATATTAATAAAAATATAAATTAAACTACAGTTATTTATCAAAAACGTAATATTTTTAAATTTTATTTAATAATAAACGTTGAGAGAAAACAAAAAAAAATTAAGATAAAATTCCAATTAAAATTTAGATTTGATCAACACACCAAAACCGGATGAAAGGGCTATTATGACATATGTATCATGTTATTACCATGCTTTTCAAGGAGCGCAACAGGTTGGAAAACCAATGCGTGTCCCCGTTCCCCAAAGAATTTCTTCTGATAATTATAAAAATTTACATGCCCAGAATGTGTCTAAACAATTATACGACAATTATCATTTACAGTATTTCAAAAAACATGTTTGTTCATAATACAAAACAAAACTAAATATACCTTGTATATGTATAAAACCTTTATATATACTCTTTTTAAATAATATTTAATTAAACAAAATTTATTTACATTAATACGCTAAATTCACACATTTTATATATATATGCATATATATGTAAATCAGTGTCCTTTCTATGTTTTTTGGTTAATTATTATAAGTATTATGATTATTATTTTTGTATCTCATATTCATACCTTATTTATTATATCCAGAGTATTTTCCAACCAATTGATTTATTATTGGTGTTTAAAAATATCTTAAGTTAAAATTTAAAAACAATTGTTTTTTTTCTACCATTTTGCCCATTTTGTTGATGTTGTTTTTACATATTTTTATCCTTAAAACGAATTATTTTTAATAAAATTTTTATGATATTTAGATGTTGTTGAGTTTTTCAAATTTCATAAAAGCCTTTACATATTGATAATAACGTATTTTCTCCCGCTTCACATATGAAATAAATATAAAAATTATTCTGTAAATAGGCAGCCATAGATATGCAACAGTTTTGTAAAAATTTTTTAACTAAGTATTTCTAATATTATGTGTTTAGGTGTTAAAGCCTAAAAATAATAACGAAAAATGCAAAAAAAAACGAAATTTTAATACATATTATAATTTAAAAAAAAAAATTTAAAAGTGAAGTAAGAAACTCCTAAGAATATAGTATTTTTGAATAAAAAAACAGCCTTTATAAAGCAATTAAATGAGAAAAATTCAGTCCTTTATTTTTATATGAAAATTATATTTCAATTCCTTTTTTTCTAATATTATAAGTGAATGCTGCACATATTAACGCACAATTAATGCTTTTGTTTAAAAAAAAGTTTAATCGTATTAATCAAAAGTAAAAAATGCAAGGCTATTGTTTGTTTCACAAATTGATTAGTAAATGCATTTTCAGTTTTACGAATAATTTGTATAAAAATTTGAATTTGATTTGTTTTACAAATCTCAAATGTTAACAAAGTTGGAAATTAAGAGCCCCTATCAAATTTTTAATAACCTTAGGTTAATAAAAATAAGCTCCAAAGTAGAAATTCAACTTTAAATTGAAATTTAAAGATATTTCGTCAAAAATGGCTCAGAAAACACATAATAAATTTTAGTTAATAAAAAATTTTAATTTTGATATTACAAATTTCCTTTTTAAAGAGTATTAACTTTAAATAATGTTATTAAAAATAAATATAACATAGTTTCAAATAAACAAGATTTAATGAAACTGCAATTCCACAAAATCACAGAATTGATTAATTTGTACATTATTGTCTGACCACTAGCTTGCTTTTATGTTATAACTTTAAAAACATAAAAGACCGTTCAATATAATCGACTTAGTTTGACATATGTACATATGCGAAACATCAATAATTATTTTGCATTTTAAATCAGAAACCTCATGGATTATATTTAATTTAGTTAATAAAGTTTCTAGTCACTCTATCAATTTGTTGAAATAATATTTAATTACAATAGCCTTCTTTAAAATATAATTTTCAAAATAGAAAAATAATTATAACACAAAAATTTTCGATACCTAGATAAAATACAAATACATATATCATATATTATTATAATAGATATGATCAACACACCAAAACCAGACGAAAGGGCTGTTATGACATATGTATCCTGTTATTATCATGCTCTACAAGGGGCACAACAGGTTGGAAATACAACATACGTACCTGAACCTACAAGAGAATACGAATACCATCCGAATTATAGATATAATGTGACTAAAAATAGATATATCCCTACCTTTACAAAAAAAAATATACACGAAAAAAGAAAAACTTGTTTGCTGTTTGTTTTTGGAATGACGTGTTTTTTTATTCTTCTCTTTTTCTTACGCTCTCATTTATCTTTAATTTTCTATTGTTTTATTACAACATGTGATAAAAGAATATTTTCAAAAACTTCAATTTTATCAAAATTAATAAAACACTACATAAACAAAAAATTTCAAAGCTTAATATTGATAAAAAAAAAGAAAAAAAAAACTAAAAGTAAATATCATACTAAAAATTTTCACATTTTTTAAGAAAATGTCAAAATGATAACTACTTTTACATTGTCATTGTTTGACATTTACATTAAAATTTTTACGTAAATGACAATTTTTTCTTTTAAAATATGGTTTTAAATATGCGCTTGCATGTTTTTAGCTTTTTAAAGTTTACATTTAAAATTAAAATTACATTTTTGAAATAACTTGGAGATTTCAAATGACATCTGATTCTAAAATTGATTACTAAAAAAAATAATAAGAAACAATTTTTACAAGAGAGCTTATTCAGAGTGGTAATTATTATTCAAATCGTAATCGCTTTAAAGCAATTATACAATATTCAAAAATTGAAATCGAAACACATATATGTATTTTTTTTAAATTTTTGAATATTTAATAACTAATTCATAATAGTTAGCTTTAACGCGAATTATACTGAAAAAAGTGTTTATCAACCAAAATGAATTTAAAAAACAAATGTAACAACTTTTCTTGATCATCATATTCCAAAAAATCAAACCAAATTTATGATAAAAGTAGCGTGTAGAAAATTAACAATACTCGTACCAATTTTGTTGATTTTTTACTGTGGACTAATGACTTTAGATTGCTTTTTAAAACAATGTTAACTCTGCTATAGATTGCGTGAATGTTGACAATAATTATTTATTAGCTTGCATCATTTTTGAAATGAATATATAATTAACAAAATCGAAGCATGGCTTTGATAAACCTATAGGAAATATCTTATAAATTTTAAATGTCTTAGCTTTTGCATTTATATTTTATATTCACTAAAAATATTAACAAAATACCTAAATTAAAGAAAAATAATTAACATTTAACAATTAAAAAGGAATGTTGCAAATTATTTTTATATTGTGTAAATATTATTAAAATATGAAATTCTGAATAATTTTTAAGCTAAAATTTATTTAACAAATAAAAAACTCATTCAGTCCTATTATGAATTCCACTCATAGAATCCTACGAACATATGTTAGCTACGACATAGACTTTTGCAGTGATCACAAATTCCTTTCGTTGAGGTTGTGGATCAGCATTTTTCAAAGTTTCAACATCCTTATATTATTTCAACTGTTAAATGTTTATTTATATTTTTTTGTTGCTATTTGAGTAAACAACACTAATACAAATGGATATTTTTTAGTAGCGGATTTTTACAGTTTTTTTAGTTTTTGAATATTTTTGGAAAGTGGAAAAAAGTTTTTTAGCATATGTATATTAATTCATTTCCTTTTATTTGGAATAAAATACTTTTTATTTTTGCTGATATATTTCGTGCGCTACATACGCACTTGGAGAACTTTTGTCTCTTTTATATGCTTTGTACGTGTGAAATTTTTTTTATAGACTTTTGAGGATTATTTTTACTACGAACGTAATTTATGGTTACTCTATTACGAATATTAGGAGCAGACTTTTAGTAATTCGGAATTGACAAAATGAAATTCATAATAGGGCCGATTATTTTTAACAAAATATTTGCAACATTTTTTTAAATGCATATTAAAACAAAACCTTAATACAATAAAATCCCAAGAATTCGCTATGTTGATTATGTAAGCTAAAAAATTTTATTTAAAAAACAAAATTAAAACAAATTACGTTTTAATGATTCCTAACCTCAAAGAGTCGTTTTAATCAAATTGATAAAATTGATGTTAAACACCCATAATAAAAATTTGTTTTAAGTGTCATAATTTTTAAAAAATGTTATAGGTAATTATAACAATAGAATTTCAATAAAGCAAGTCCAATTTGGAATTTAAGATTTTTTATTACAAAGCTTAGTGTTTAATATCGTATAATACTTTATATTAAAAGATATATAAATACTATTAATTATGTACAGAAATACACCACATTAAGAACTATAAAAAATTAACTCATCTTTTATTGATTGCTTTCATAATTACGTTAAAATGCAACTGAGAAGGCAATTGCTTTGTAGCAAAAAGTATTCTAATGCAAAGCAGTTAAACATGTTGGAATACTTTTAACATTTTTACATTTCAACAAAGCTATTTTTGTCATTTACAGTAATAGAACTTACCAAATAAACATAGCGAAATATTTAATAAATTAGAGTTTTGTATATTTCTCTATAATCAGAAACCAACAAATAGAAAAACAATTCCATTTTAACCCCCCCCCCACTACTGTTGTTGTTTGTGATTTTTTTTTATAATTCTAGTAAAATTTTACTGTATTATTAACTAACAACTAACTAATGTTTGTATTATTATTTTTTTGCTCTTTTTGTTTTTTTTGTTTTCATTTGCGCATCGCTAAAAGATTTGCAGAATACAGCAATGCCAGATGAAAGAGCTGTTATGACATATGTATCATCATATTATCATTGCTTTAGTGGCGCACAAAAGGTCGGTTTATAAATCAACAAAAAAAAATATAAACAGCAAAAATAAAGCATAGATAACACATCAAAACAAAAAAAAAATAAATAGAAGATTTGAAGCTTGGAAAATTTGAAAAATTTTCGGATTAAGGAAAACATTAAATTATTTTTTTTTTTTTTGGATTTCTGTATAAAAAATTTTCCGCGTACCTTAGACCATATATACGTACATACATACATATACTTATATTAAATTATTTATTTTTTCTGACGTAAAAACCTAAATCTGTTTGCTTTAAACTAAATCTGAAAATGTGGACTAGATCTACATTAAACTGAGCTAAATCTGCATTATAAAATGTGGGAGCCGCTTTTACGTTATAAATTAAAAGTAATAATTCAACAATCGATTCTTATTTTCAATATTGTTACAAAAATTCATTACATTTACGTTTCACGATTTCTATACGATATTTCTAACATTTTTTCCTTAATATATGTACAATTTTCAACCAATTTAATTCTTAACTTTTTACTCATATAAAATGTACTGACATTAATTGAATCTTCATATTTTCTTCATATCTTCATCAATTGAAGAGCAAGCTGAAATATGATTAGTGGTCAATTATATTATGTCACTATATGAAATAAATATGAGAAAAAAGATTAAATGCACATGTGCTTGAAAGCTACAATATCAACGAAGCAATGTATTGTAATTCTAAAAATGATGATTCTGCATCATTTTTATTGCTAAACTATGAGCTATATAAATTTTCTTCTTTATTATTCAAAAAATGTAAGATATAATATTATTTTTTTTTAAATCTTGATTTTAACTATTCTTCCATTTTCTAAAAATATTGAAGATTTATTAAAATTTCAGTGTAATTTACATTATGCTCAAAGATTTGAAATAAAAAATATTAGAATTTTTAAGATTTTATTAAATAAAAGTAAAAATAGACTCATAAATATTGTAATGATGGGTATGTTCAGTTGACTAAAGCCGTTGACTTCAATTTAATTTCTATAACCAATTAGCATTGAAAACATTTCAGAAGAAAGGGACTTTTACAATGTTTAAAACATAAGTGGCTTTCAAATATTTATGTATATATATTTTAATATTTTTTCATCATTTAAAAATTTGTCATGTTCATAATTAAAAAATTAGATGAATGTAACCCGTTCAGTGGAAGGATTGTATCAGTAGTAATTTATGCACTTCAATGCTAAAGTGATTCAGCTTTTTAATAATTAAAGTACGCTGAAAGCATCCAATGTAAAAAAATATGTGCAATTTCTTATTTAATTTTAAAAGTATGAACATTTTTTTGTATAGTAATTGGAATAACTTTTTTTTTAAATTGTAACAAAGAAATAAAATCGACATAAAATACATGTTAAAAAAAATCCATATACAGTGTTACAAATATTGTGTGAAGAAGTCAATACAAATGTATAAATAATAAATTCACATCTGGAGAATTAGTATCTAGAAACAACTATGTAAAATAGCGGGTTTCACAGCAAATTTTTTGATTGAATTTGTCAACAAGCAAGGTTATTCTATTCATTCTAATCCATAGAAATTTTAACAGTTTATGTACATAAGTGCTATGATTTTTTAGCATAATGTAAATTTCGCTTTACTTATTTTTGGCTGCAAATTTTAATTTCATTTCTGAACAATGAAATAAATGCTTTAATTAAAAAAATTTAACTGAAATTAAAACAAAAAAAAAAACTTTAACTTTTGCTATACAGTCCGTTTGTTTTACAAAGAAAAACTAAATATAAAAAATAAAACAAAATAATAAAAAACCGAGAAAAAGCGAATATGACGACATAAAGCAAAAAAATCCAACAAAATTAATTTCAACTTTTTTTTATTATACACAAATAACTTCAAAACACTTACAATTGCAGATTTAATGTCGTTTGAATGTTTTTGTTTATTGTACCGAGTTTTTGAATTTAATTTGTAATTTGTAATTTATTTTTTCTTTGTTATTTTTTCATATCGTCAACCAACAAATACAAACGTGTATATTTAGAAAATTCAAATTGTAAAAGAACAATATAAGAACACAGGGAGACATAAAAAGAATCACACATAATATCAAAAATTCCGTCCTTATTGATGTATTCCTGCTCCGCTCAAACGCTTCTTATCTCGCCACATCCTTTTTATATTTTTATTTTTATTATTTATTTTTTTCTTTTATTTTTCTTTCGTTTTGTAGTAAAAAGCAAAATGATTTTTACATTTTATCATAAAGAAGAAAAATAAAATTTGCTATTAAAATTCGACAATAAAAATTTTGACCATGAAAATGGTGTTAAAAAAAACAAAATATAAAAAATTGCATATTTATAGGAAAATATTTGTAGCTATTGATTATTATGTCGAATTTTCCATACATTTGTATTTTTCTTCTTTTTTTGTCAATTAAATTCTCGATTATTAATAAATAAATTTTTTTTACTTTGTATTTTTTTTCTCCTTCTCTTTTTCTTTTGTGTATATTCATTTTTTATTTATATTTCAAAAAAACTGGTATATATATATATATATAAATAACGAATAATATAGGCTGAGACAGCTGCTAATCGTATTTGCAAAGTTCTTAAAGTTAATCAAGAAAATGAACGCCTTATGGAAGAGTATGAACGTCTAGCAAGCGATGTAAGTAATTCTAAAATACATTTATATTTTAAGTATATATTTATACTCAATTAATTTTTTAAATACATACTATATTCAAAAATACATACATATGTACATATGTATATAATTATAATTTTTTATTGAAACAACTGTGAATTGAATTAATATTTTTATTTACAATTATTATAGACAAATTTCAAATAAAGTTAAAATTTTTCCTATATTAACAGTTTCCTAATTTCATGTTATATTTTAATTGTGATTTATATTTTAATTGAGATGAAATTTTTCATACCGTCCTAGTAAGCTCATTACTCTTCGACATTACTATATATCGCAGTAGGTATAGATAAGGAGATGTAATACTGTCAATACAGTTGCAACTTATTGTAAACTTTCTAATAATTTCTTATCAGAAATTCTTAGAACCTTGCACCCTAATTCTTTATTAGATTGCAAGTTAAAATGATATAACATTGCTTTAACATCAAAAATTTGAAGATATCAAAATTGAATCTTGCAATTCATAGCAATACAGAATTTACTGAAAAGTTTTATCTATTCCAATCTTATAGATAACCATAATTAATTTCAATAAATTTTGATTAATTTTTAATTTGTTCAAATAAATTCAATTTGGTTAGTTAATAATTAATTAATGGTATTCTCTTTATATAAATAAATCTATTTGAAATATTTTATTTGTATAGCTATGTAATTTACATTTCTCTACAAATTATATACTTTTCATCAATTCCATGTCATATCTATATTTTGTGCAGTGTTAAGGTACACAAATATTTAATAAAATTAGCTTGCATTTTAAAAATTTACAATCTTAAATATAGGTATTTACTTATAGTTACTTGATTGGATTCGTCGCACAATGCCATGGTTAAATTCCCGTCAAGCTGATAATTCACTAGCTGGTGTGCAAAAGAAATTAGAAGAATATCGTACTTATCGTCGTAAGCATAAACCACCACGTGTTGAACAAAAAGCAAAACTCGAAACAAATTTCAACACATTACAAACAAAATTACGTTTGTCAAATCGTCCAGCATATTTACCAACTGAAGGTAAAACTGTAGCTGATATTTCAAATGCTTGGAAAGGTTTGGAATTAGCTGAAAAAGCATTTGAAGAATGGCTATTAGCTGAAACAATGCGTTTAGAACGTTTAGATCATTTGGCACAGAAATTCAAGCACAAGGTAAATAAAATATTAAATAATTTCTTTATATTTATAAATAACTGTTTATTTTTCAATTTTAGTGCGATACTCATGAAGATTGGACGCGTGGTAAAGAAGAAATGCTTCAATCTCAAGACTTCCGCCAATGTAAGTTAAATGACTTGAAAGCATTGAAGAAGAAGCACGAAGCTTTTGAATCAGATTTAGCTGCACATCAAGATCGTGTTGAACAAATTGCTGCCATAGCTCAAGAGTTGAAGTAAATTATAATTTGTTTTTAAGTAAAATTGTTTATGAAAATTAATTGAAAATATTTTTTTGAAATTATAATCGTAGTACTCTTGAATACCACGATTGTATTTCGGTTAACGCCCGTTGCCAACGTATATGTGATCAATGGGATCGTTTAGGCGCTTTAACACAACGTCGTCGTCAAGCATTAGACGAAGCTGAACGTATTCTTGAGAAAATTGATATTCTTCATCTTGAATTTGCTAAACGTGCAGCTCCATTCAATAATTGGTTGGATGGTACACGTGAAGATTTAGTTGATATGTTCATTGTACATACAATGGAAGAAATTCAAGGCTTGATTCAAGCACATGATCAATTTAAAGCAACGTTAGGTGAAGCCGATAAGGAATATAATTTAATTGTTGGCTTAGTACGTGAAGTTGAATCAATTGTTAATCAACATCAAATACCTGGTGGTCTTGAAAATCCTTACACAACATTAAATGCACATCAATTATCACATAAATGGACTGAAGTACGTCAATTGGTACCACAACGTGATCAAACATTAGCAGCTGAATTACGTAAACAACAAAATAATGAAATGTTAAGACGTCAATTTGCTGATAAAGCAAATTCAGTTGGTCCATGGATTGAAAGACAAATGGATGCTGTTACTGCCATTGGTATGGGATTACAAGGTTCATTAGAAGATCAATTACATCGTCTAAGAGAATATGAACAAGCTGTGTATGCTTATAAACCACATATTGAAGAATTAGAAAAGATCCATCAAGCTGTGCAAGAATCAATGATATTCGAAAATCGTTACACAAATTATACAATGGAAACATTACGTGTTGGATGGGAGCAGTTATTAACATCAATCAATCGTAATATTAATGAAGTTGAAAATCAAATTTTGACGCGTGATTCAAAGGGAATAACACAAGATCAATTAAATGAATTCCGTTCAAGTTTCAATCACTTTGATAAGAATCGTTTGGGTCGCTTGACACCAGAAGAATTTAAATCATGTTTAGTATCATTGGGTTATTCAATTGGAAAAGATCGTCAAGGTGAAATGGACTTCCAAAGAATTTTAGCTGTTGTTGACCCAAATAATACTGGTTATGTACACTTTGATGCTTTCTTAGATTTTATGACAAGAGAAAGCACCGATACTGATACGGCTGAGCAAGTAATTGATTCATTTAGAATTTTGGCCTCTGATAAGGTTAGTTTATTTTGATGAAGAAGTTGTTTTTTTTTTATTTAATTTTACTAAAATTCTATTCTTATCTTTGCAAAAACTTTTTATTTTCTGACTAACGATTCAATTTATAAAACAAACAAGGTTTAATACCTAATGCATTATAGATGCTTATATTTAACATGTTTTTACGTCTTTTATAGCCATACATTTTACCCGATGAACTTAGACGTGAATTGCCACCAGATCAAGCTGAATATTGCATCCAAAGAATGCCACCATACAAAGGTCCCAATGGTGTACCTGGTGCTCTTGATTATATGTCTTTTAGTACAGCCCTTTATGGTGAAAGTGATTTGTAAACAAATGTTATATAATAAAAAATAAGAATAATAATCCTATAAAGTAATAATATTAAAAAAATTATTTATATAAAATAAATTAAAAATACAACTTACAATAATTATTTGAAGAATTGTAATTAATTTTTTTTTTAATTTTTAGAAAAAATTGAAATACAATTGGAAAATTGAAAATGTAGTTAAAAAACAAAACACATTTAAAACACGAATTATTTAAATTATTTTTTGGATTAACAGTTTATCTTTTTTTAACTACAAAACTAAACTAAAGCAGAGGAAACAAAACATATTATGAAAATTTAAGTAAAAGCAGTTTTTTTATAAATCACTTTTAAAATAGTATGAAAATGAATATATTAATTAATTTATTTATGAAAAGATTTTTTTTTAAATAACATTTACATTATATTTTTAGTTCGCCACTCTTTAAATTTTTTTTTCATTAATTTTATTTTTATTATTTAACATTAATAAATTAAAAACCATAATAATTAAAAAGATATATAATAATAAATAAAAATTAATTAAAAAAAAACAACAAAACAATAGAAAATAAAATGAAAAAAAATCGAATTAATATGAATTTTCTTTAATCCTTGCCAGTCCCAAAAGTTTTAAATTTTTTTTTGTCACTTTTTTAAGCTTTGATGTCTATAATCATTGCACATAAATAAAATATAGAATAAGCTAGACTATTTAAAACTATAACCCTCTATAATACAGTTTCTTAGAAAAAAATCCTTGAAAGTTGAACACATAAAAAAAATCCCTATAAATGAACTCATATTGTTCTTTAATTTATTAAAGAATTAATTGATTAGGAGTATAAAATACAATTTTTTATTGAATTTTTTAAAAATGTTTTAATCCAATCGATTCCTCATTTTTAATATTTTTTGTATTTAAGTGTAATTCAAGTTAAAAGTTTTATTAGTAAATTAATTCTATATTTATTTATTAACTCCTTTTTTATTTTTATTTTAACACGATACGTGTAAAGAGAATCCTATATTTAAACTTTAATATAATGAACTTAATACATATAATTAACAATTAACGAATAGTTCCGTCGATATGGAAAGAAGCTCATCTAAATATGAATAAATTTTATGGACCTCACTTATTAATTTAAAAATAACTTTTAAAAACTAACGAATACTTGAATTAATTAATTTTTATTAATGAACGAGATTGTAAACAAATTTATTTTTTTAACATACACTGAATGGATTTTAAGTTATTTTTTTGTTTTCGGGAAAACTATCTCCTAAAACGAAATGATATTATATAATTACACTGAAATCGCATAGTTCAGAAATATCAAAGTTAATATTAAATATATTAGGAGAAAAAATTTTTTTTTGGGACTGCAAGGGTTTATTTAAAATAACACATTTATATTAATATATTAATAACATAGAAATGGGATAGGAAATAATTTTAAAGTTAATAATTAATAATATCATATCTGGTAATAGAAAAGAAAGAAGTTTTCCTGAAATTCGAATGGAATATCCAAATAATTATACAAAAAAAGAAAAATTAAGAAAAAAAATGAAAAAAAAAATTGAAAATTACAAAAAAAAAGGAAATTTAAATATATATATATATATATATATATATATATATTTCTGATTCACGAATATTGTTTTTCTTTTATTTATTTAGTTTAAATTTATTTTATTATAAAATTTTTTTTTTTCAAAGTTATATATAGGATGTAAAAGCAATATGAAAATAACTCTTAATACTTGTTAAAATAATTTTTCTAATTTTATTTTTATTTTGAGAGCAAATTTTACCTTCATTATTCAGTCACCATCGCTTAACATCATTTTGATTTTGAAAGTAAAATTTGTTCTCAACTTAAAAATAAATATTAGAATTTATAATCTATTCTCGTGTTTTTTTAATTTCTGAAAATTCTTATATATAATTTTAATATTTATCGCAAAAAAAATTAAAACAAAATAATTATATATATATATATATATATATCTATATACATATATACTATTTATATAGTTTTTAATCGATTTAGTTTTTTTTTTATTGTATATTTTATTTTAGTAGCATTGAGTTAAAATTTTTAACATACATATTTATATATTTAGATTTAAGGATATTACAGAAGCTGTTTTATAAAACAAAAACACCACATATGTGAGTGTATTTTAAACATATTTTTAAAAAAACATCATATACTAAATATCATCTTTTTTACAAAAAAAAAATAATTTATACATATTGTATATGTATGTATAAATATGTTTGCATAAATTTTTCGTAAAATTAATTCATAAGAAAAGTTTAAATTTTTTAAGGTTTTTTTATAACAAAAAGAAAAATTTGAATAACGTATGAATATATAACTCATATACATATACATAAATATATTAATTTTAATAACAATTATATACATATGTATAATTATATCTACATGCAGCAACATTTTAATAAGAACAACTATATTTTCAATTTTTTCTTTTTTAATGTTATAATTTATTCTACATACAATTAATTTATTTATATAAAAATATTAATGACTATTATTACAACATAAATTCAAAAATACTTATATAACAACAATATTCTAGAGAAAGAGTTTGATATTATAAATGAATAGAAAAATTTTACAAAATTTATAAAGCGCAAGTAAATAATAACGTACATAACAAAAAATAAACAATATATAAAAAGTTAAGAAAATAATAAAAATATTTATGTTGAGTGAAATTTCTTTATGAAAGCAACCACATTCTAATCACAATTACCGCCCATGATGTAATAATTTTTTATAATCGTAAGATTTAAAGATTTTTAAATTCCACTAAAATCATATTTGGAAAAAAGACCAAGACAAATATTTAAGTTGAATAGGTGATCAACGTTTTCAAATAAATTAAATTTATTACTTTCAGTAATATAAATTTAATTCTTTTGCTAATTTTCGTTTTTGCGTATATTCATATTTTTGATGTTATAATTTTATTTTAACAGATATTGTTTTAAATTACAAAACCTGCATAAATTAACATCCTACAATTTAAAATAATATTTTTTAAAATAATTTTGTGACATCACATTTTGCATATATAATTCGTACATAAATATCCATTAATGTAATTAAACAAATATTATAGAAAAATTGATCAATAAAAGATAAATTTATCTTAACAAGGGAGCTTTCCAATTAAATATTTTTATTATTGTTTATTCGAATTTCTTTTTGCTTTGTGCTTTGAAATTAAGATTAAATTAACTATTCTATTATGTGAATATGTAATGTTCATATATTTTTTATACATGATTTTATCCAAGATAACCAAACATTCATGATAACACCAACATTTTGATAAAAAATATCTATTTTTTTTATATAAATTTTTAAATTAATTGTAGGAATAAAAAAAGCAAAGAAAAAGAGGAAACAAATAATATGAAATTTTTTTATGCAATAGCTATAATAAAACAAATATAACTTAATATTATAAATTTAATTGATCGAAAAATAAAAAAAATACCTGACAGGACATACCTAAATTAAGAATTAAGAAAAACTATGAAAAAACCTTTTTATTAAATATTTTTTTCAAAAAAAGATAAAACATAAAAATGAGTCTAAAAATTAAAAAATATTTAAGTAAGCCAAAAAAAAATAAAAAATTTGATTGGAAACGACGCTGAATAAAAACATTAAAAACATGAAACGCAAACTACAACAAAAAAATTTGAGTGTTTTGATTTTATTATTTTAAACTTGTTAATTTATTTCTTTATTTCTTCTAATAGCTCTTAGGCTGTAGATAGGATGGTATCTATATTATTTTCCAGCGAACACTACATTAGTTTCCAAAATTTTAAGTAACAAAAATATCAAAATATATGAATTCCTAAAGCAAGTTTAATTTGCTAAGTAATTAAACAAGCTTTTTCTACTAATGTTACTACTACATATATCAGAAATATTTTTGAATTTCTATAAATTATAACTTTATTAATATATAGATAAATAATTTTATTAATTCTCACTTTCTTTTTAATAATTCAATTGGAATAAATTAAAAAAAATATATTTTCGCTAAAAATTATTCCAAATATTTATAATAAAAATCTAGTTCAATTGTTAAAATCCAAATGTTAAAAAAAATCTTTTTTTAAAGAATTTCCATATAGTATAATAAATAAAAGAGTAAAATCATTCTATCTGCAGCTAAATTTTTTAATCACAGCATCATTTTATTTTGAATGTTAAATAGGAAATCCAAATTTTATAATATTTCTTTAAGGAAATTTTAAGTAACATAAGTTCGGAACATAACATAAGTAGTAAATATAAAAAAACAACTTCAAGGTATATTTAAAAAAAATTCAAAGTTGATATAAAAATTTTTTAAACTTCCAAAACGTTGTTGCGTTTTCAAATTTAACATATTTACATATATTCTTAAATATTTGACTTTAAAAATATTATAAATTGTTAAACTATAAAAACTATTTATTTATAAAATAATTTATTTATTATTAATTATGTTTTTTAACTACAGCAATTATTATTAATTAATGTTATGAAATTTGAATATTATAAAATTTGAGAGTTTCATAAAGAAAATTATTTTTAAGTTTTAACAAAATTAATAGAACAATTTTGGGAAAACTCTTTTTTTTTCTAATTCTCGTTGAAATTTTATTATTAATTTTTTTATTTTAAAAGGAATTAATTAGATTGTTTTTTTTTTCTTTTGTAATTCGAAATCATAATTATTTGCATGCGACATTATATATTAATAATATAGTAAAGTGGATGCTGTGTTAAAAAATTTGCACCACATTCATCATTATCATATTATACAAGTGTGACGACAATTTCATGAAATACCACATTCAATGCAATCAAACCTGCACGTGAAAAGTACATGGTGTATATGTAGTAGTAGATTAGAATTTTTTATAAGATTAATTAATAGCACATTATCAAATTCAATTAATCAAAAAATAGTTAAGCTTTTAAAATATTGAAGTGATTCAATAATAATGATACCGGGAACTGTCGATGTTACACGTACCTATATAAAAGCTAGAGAATATTTTTTAAAAATTTTCAAAAAAATTAAAGAAACGTTGTTGAACTTTGAGGTCATTCCTATAGCTACAAAATTTTGTTAACAGAAAACAATTTTTTGGCAGTTTGAGCAATTAAATTTTTATATTTTTAGTGGATACTTAAAACTCAGATTGTAAGATGAAATTCTGAAATATGCTGTAAAGTAAGTATATATAATATCTATGTATGTATGTGTTTGAAAAGTCGTTTATATAAATTTTTAACACAGTAAAACACAGTAAGTATCACTAAAAGCAAGAATTCTAAAATTTAAATTTTTCCTAAATTTAGGTAAAAGAACAATAATTTAGAATTTTAAAAGTTTCTATAAGCTAGTTTAGTTTACCTTTGACGAATTGAGTTTTAATTTAAAAAAAAATTGTTACTAAAATAAAATATGTATTGCAAAATTATAGATTACGTTCCTTGAAATCTCAAATTTGAAATAAAATAAGTAATAATCGAATTC